AGGAAAACATGACAATCAAATCGAATAGACAATGACACCATGGTTACAGACACCAAACTATCGAATCACTTGTGAAGCAAAGTTAATAGCTCATTTCTATATTTATTTAAACACATAAACTTAGGTACAAGAAGGCACCAAATATATATGCACCACACATGTCACTTGATTTGTATGTGGGCTTGGATATTGTCCGGGTTCCCAGATCGAAACAGGTGGTTTACTTAGGGGGCAACAACCAGAACCTTCGACCTAAATCTTTGATCCACATTGCAGTAGAGCAACATTAGAAGATACAGTCCCATAGTAACCGGTGACCAAAGATTGGTTCATACGCCATTTGTTCCTCTAGGATATGGAAGCCTATATTAACCATTGGTTTTGGAATGAGGGTTTTTCAACTCCCTTAGGTAGACTCTCCGTGTCCATTAAACCGGTTAAAGCGTTGGACGTTCGCTCTTCGTCCTCTTAATCTCGTAAACAACAGTAATGCTGCGAGAAGGCAGTGAGCAGGACTTCTCTGGCAGTAGTTGTATGCACGTGGCCATGTGAGAGCATTTGGAGAGGGAAAGCTGACTTTCCCTACTCTCGGCCGTACCAGGGCATTTTGGAGTCCGTTTCTATATTAAGTATATGTTGATAATTTTGTTTAGACAGATAATGAAATCTTCAAATTATAAAATTTACAGTATACAAACACCTTTGGAAATTGATAATAATTACCCATCGACTATCATCATAGTACTGAAGCAATAAACAATTGAATTTAATCCTGTATCAAATGGAAACATCCAAGGAGGCCCTCTTGAATATCTGGGCTACTTGTTTCTGTCATCTGGATATTTCAACAAGTTATCAATCTTACTTATTTTAACAGATCATTATGTCTATAACTCTCATAACCTATTCAGGTGCATTTGTGAAAAGTTCACTATATTTCGTTATACAAGTTACAAAAGAGCCAAATCAATGACATCATGGTTGTTGATTATATGTATCGAAAAGAATGTACATTATTTCAATTTCGATTGATAGAACTGCTAACATCTAACTGGTAACCATTCAATATTTATCGCAAGGATCAATTAAGAAATAAGAAATGAGAAACTTGTTGAAATTACTTTATGCTGAGAATTCTATATTGGACCAAAGATATAATATTGAATAAAGCCATTAATAATAATATGACTGATTGAAATCATGAGTCACTCGAAGCTAGACCACCATGAAAGACCTGGAAGCACTGGACAACCGTTTCGTCCTAGTATGGGACTCCTCAGTAGCAATGCGCATCCACAATCCCGCACCCCGCGAGGTTCGAACCCAGGACCTACAGGTCTCGCGCCAGGCGCTTGACTAACTATACCACTGAGCTGGCCGGCACCCAACGGTGTTAATGTCTAACTTCAACCAATCCACGAAATTGCACAACTATCTTCCATTGTATTGAGGTAGATACCTGTCTCTACTCGATACAGATTAGCTACACTGGTTACGGCTTTTCAATAGAACTCTTAAGAATTTCATCACGAATCTAATCACTAGTGAGCATATGGTTAGATGGTGGGTGTGCACTACTGATGAGTCCCATAATAGAACCAAACGGTCATCCAGTGCTTCCAGGTTTTCAATAGTGGTCTAATATCAATCAGTTCATGATCTCAATCAGAAATTTATTCATCTTCACAACCCTATACTGACAAGTAATACGTATCATCAATCAAAAGTAAAATATCTGGCAGCAAAAGATTAAGAAGATCAAAGAGAAGAGGATGAGAACAAAGAATGATTGATGTGGAAATGAAAGAAAATGATGTTTGAGACAATGGATTGACATTTCGTGAATAAAGTATGACTCTCAGATTTTATTAAAAGCACCCAAATGCCCTGGTACGGCCGAGAGTGGGGAGATTCCGCTCTCCCTCTCCGAATGCTCTCACATGGCCACGCGTACACAGCCACCGTCAGGGAAGTCCTACTCACTGCCTTCTCGTGATGGGGGTGTTGTTTACGAACTTGAGAGGACGAAAAGGGAATGTCCGACGCTTTAACCGGGTTGGTGGGCACAGAGAGTCTACCTAGGGGAGTTGGAAAATCCTGATTCCAAACCAATGGTTAATATAGGCTCCCGTATCCTAAGGGAACAAATGGCGTATGAAACAAATCGTTGGTGACCGGCTTCCATAGGACTGCATCTCCTTACGATGCTCCACTGCCTTGTGGATCAGACCTTCAGGTCGAAGGCTCCGGGCATAGCCCCCTAAAGGAAACCACCTGGGCACCCGGACAGTATCATAGCCCTCACACATATCAAGTGAGATCTGTTTGGCGCATACGTATTTGGTGCCTCTTTGTACCAATATCTATGTGTTAAATAATGAATAAAAATTTATTAAGAGATCCAGTAATGTTTTTATTCAACTACATTTAGTTGTCACCCACTGATATTCTCATTCATTACATTACCACTAATTGTTTTGTTAAAAAATTTACATTTATTTGAAAATTCCATTATGTAATGGGTTTTTTTTTGTATTTTGTAGACAACATGAATATCCAATTTAGTCTACTTTATTCAAACTGGAGCTTTTTTCTTTCTTTCTTTCTTTCTTTCTTTCTTTCTTTTCACTTAAAGATCATGTCTGAATTCCATATAGAGTAATCCACGTTAGATTGAGTAACTATATACAAAATTTATACTCGATTAATCTTGGTTCATAATTTTCTATCAATCTGTTAGATACTGGTTACAATTCAGTGTATTTAGATTGTATGAGTTCGATGATGGGCTCAAATACTTTATTAAATAGTGTCAACAATCATGAAAGAACAAACCAGATCCTAGTAGAGGAAGAAATTAGGAAGAAGCGCTGGAAATGGATAGGACACACATTGAGGAAAGCATCGCCCCCAAATGCCCTGGTACGGCCGAGAGTGGGAAGAGTCCGCTCTCCCTCTTGAAATACTCTCACATGGCCACGCGTATATAGCCTCTGCTAGGGAAGTCCTACTCATTGCCTTCTCGTGGCGCGGGGTGTTGTTTACGAAATTGAGAGGACGAAAAGCGAATGTCCGGCGCTTTAACCGATTCTAAATCTATGGTGCACATGGGCTCTAGTATCCTGCGGGAACAAATGGCGTATGAACCAATCGTTGGTCACCGGTTACCATGGAACTGCATCTCTTTACGATGCTCCACTGCCTTGTGGGTTAGACGTTTAGGTCAAAGGCTCCGGATTTGGCAACCTAAGAAACCCACCTGCTTCGGTCTGGGCAACCGGGAACTGTCGCAGCTCACACGCAAATAATGGACTCTCTATATCTATGGAAACTACTTTTCTCGCTTCGAGGAAAGCACCCAACTGCGTCACAAGACAAACCCTCACATGGAATCTTCAAAGCCAAAGGTAAGACGGAGACCAAAGGACACAATACGCCGAGAAATGGAAATAGACATGAGAAAAATGAACAAAAATTGAATGGAACTAGAAAGGAAGGCGGAGGACAGAGTGGGTTGGAGAATGCTGGTCGGCGGCCTATGCTCCATTAAGAGTAACAGGCGTAAGTAACAATCATGAAACCTATCCTAAGTAGAGTTCCTTACAACCATAAGCTTGCATTATAGCATCATTTTACCTGAGGAAAAGAAATCAATATTGTATTATAGGGGGGGGGGATTTTAATCAGATTACAATCTATCTCAAAGCCTCATAGTTAGGGAGATATTCAAGTATGGACGAACTATTTTGAAAAGTGAATTATTCACCTAAATGAGGTCTTCTGAAATGTAGCGTTGTTCGGATCACTTCAATAATAAAACTTTTTGTTCTACTAATTAAACCTCAAGCATCCATAAATTAGGTAGCTGTTTTATTCTGTCATATGATTATTATTATTATTATTATTTATGGCTTCAATAGTAAGTAATAAGGACATTGACAAGGATCTAACATAAGTTATTTATAAACCAGGGAATTGAAAGTCATTGAGACGTTTTATTCACTTCATTTATTCATCGAAATAATGTTAAATCTTTTATTACGATTGATTTCTAGCTGTCAAACTTCTGTTTCACCAAAACCCCCATTATTCATGGTTTCTTACTGTAATTGTAAGAGTAAATTAAAAACTTTAATTTCATGCTAACGTTCTATTGTTTGACAATTAATATTTATCGTATTGTTCAAACAACAGACACTTTAACGTAATAAATTGGTTAGGAAACGTAAGAGTATGTACTGACATAGGAATTCCGTGAGATCATCAACTGAATGTTAATTATTCTTAATGGTATAGATCTATTATTTTATTGTCTTCTATTAGATCTTATGTTTTTAAATAACCTAATACTTACTTAGTGCATAAATTTATCCTTTCCAGTTTTTATGCTTAACTTCTATCACTTCTATTATCCTACATATTTTTTAATAATCTTATCTTACTGTGCATAATTGATTAGCTGGCCTCGATTTTCTACTTTTTAACTCAAACTACTTATTTTAATTACAGTAGACAGATTACAAATGAATAAAATAATTGATAGTCGACTTTTCAATAAAACAGAACATGAAATTAATTGAATAATTCATAATTAATACATGAAACTTTTCAGTTCATGTTTTCTTTCTTTACATATATAATTGAATCTTTATCATAAATCTAATAAAAGATTGTTTAGAAAAAATTGGAGTACAATAAGAGAAAAATGAATGAAGTAAGAATGTATAATATCGGTGGAAACAAGTAGTTTTCATTTCAATGAACTTTATGTTCTACTTCAAGAATTCATTGAATACCTTCAATACAAATAGGTCTACCCATAATATTCAAGAAAATATGGAAATGAATAAGAATCTTGACAATATAATAATAATAATGATGATGATTAGACGAAATGCAAGAAAATGTTTTGTATTATCTCTTGTCAATGGTCATCATTATTGTCACCGTCTTTTATTATCATTGTCATCAGCATCGGCATCATCATGAACTTGATTACTTCAAGAAGGTATATTCGATTTTCTTCGTTTCTCTTCATACCATAACCAATTGATTAATGAAATAATAAGTACTAATATTAATATGACTGTATTCATTAAAGTTAATGAGTACCATGGATTATTATATGAAAAATAAGTCTACAAAGAAAGAAAACAAACAAACATATATTGATTATGAATATTAAGATAAAAGTGTTCAATTATATTGATTGTATAGTAGTTATAGACCAATGGCAATGAAGTTTGGCTGGTTAAAATTAAACATTTAAACTAGTGGTTGCTGGCCAAGTAATCTAAAGGTTAGACTAGAATGTTCCGAATTCTATCACTAGAGTGATCATGGATATACACTGTAGTAATGACTCACATTTGGATGAAACACCTGTCGAATGCTTCATGATTTTCAATGTCCATTTAACTAAGATTGGTCTGTAATTATAACTATAGAACTCAATCATAACCATAGACTACTGATAGTATCCAAAAAAAGAGAAATATAAAACTTGGATAAGTGATGTTTCCCGTACATATTTAATAAGTACCCAAAATATAATTTATTTTATGGCACTTTTTCGTATATCATATAATGACTCTTGGATTTCGGCGCGAAATTCCTTCGTCTATATGACTGCTGCTGCTGCTGCTGAGGAGTCCCATACTAGGACGAAATGGCCGTCCAGTGCTTCCAGGTTTTTAATGGTGGTCTAGCTTCAATTGACTCATGATTTCAACCAGTGATATTATAGTAGACGTAGATTTGTGATGTAAACCCTAACTCTAATTCTTAACCCTGATTTCCAACTCAAAATCCCTGTTGTGTGTTCTGACGCTATTTTATAGTCTTATTTTTAGACTGTAGTAGGTAGGTGAATTTTCTTAAAGTCATTTGGAGGATTGCTCAAATATTGTTCAAAAACTATGATCTCACTTATGTAAGTTATAAGTTTAATTAAATAAAGGTACTTCACCACTTTTCATGAGTGATACATTGGACCAATTAAAAATCGTTCAAATGGTTCATACTTCTAAGGAATGGGATACACTATTCGTAGCTTAATTAATTTTAAATACAAATATATTGTGGTGTGTACTACTGATAGTGTAAGATATAAGTAGTACGTATCCTCAATAGAAAGTGAAATGCTTGATGGCAAAAGGTTAAGAAGATTGAAGAAAAGAAAATGAGAACAGAGAATGACTGGTGTGGAAACGAAGGGACAGTCAAGTCTAAGACGATTGATTAACAACCAAAAGAAACAAAGTAATCAGAGAAGGGCTTTTGTGAATATTATAGTAATTTAATAATTGAATTCATGAGTCAATTGAAGCTAAACCACCATAGGAAACCTAAAAACACTGAACTTTCTTTTCGTCCTAGTATGGGACTTCTCAGTGGCAGTGCACATCCACGATCCCGCCTCGTGAGATACAAACCCAGAACCTATTAGTCTCGCATGCTAGCGCTTAATCACTTGACCATTGAGTCAGCCGGTATCCTACAGTGTTAATGTCTAACTTCAAACAATCCACAAAGTTGCTCCACTGTTCAATCAGATAAGTCCAGGGTTCAAATCTTGTGAGGCGCATTGTTGAGGCAGTCCCATACTAGGACGAAACGCCATTCAATGCTTTCAAGTTTTCCATGATGGTCTAGCTTCAATTGACTCATGAATTCAACTACTGATTATATTCTAAGCTTACAAAAAAAAAAAGGAACACTTAGCCTCTTCTTTAGTTTAACATCTAAGAGTAAAATATGATACATTTAGTTTGACATCATCATTTGAATTTAACTAACAAAGAATAAATTTAATTTACAAGAACAATAGTAGATAGCTGAGTTTGTCTCATGTGATTCGATTCAGGCAATAGAATTATTGATGTCTAGATAGAGATTAAAAGAAACTATACGTTAAATTGATAAGATAATAATGATGATTAAGATATTATATAAGGGGTTGATAGAGCTTAATAGTATAGTCAAGTCATTTCATTGATCGTTTTCTTATCCTGTACCCTCCCCCCTTCCCCCCCCACACACACAACTAAGTCTCAATGAAATATTAAAAAAAAATACGTTTGAATTAGGTTAGTAATTATTGTACATAAATAAATTGATAATACCCATAGGATTATCACTAGGGGGTAACAACATCTCAATGTAGTAATGACTTAATAATTGAAAAAAAAATGTCTTTAACCTTAAAAAGAAATGATAAACATACAATATGTGAATAGTTGAATCGGAACTATGTATCGCTAATGTGGCCTAGAATAAATAACAAAACATATCATTCTATCATGATGTATGTATACAAGTCGCTAGGGGATTGAAGTAAATTCACACACTACAACAGATTCAATCACAAGTGGATTATCATGTGAATAATCTAGCAACTATGATCATACAATGAACAGTTTCGGAATCAATTAGAAGATTTGGACTGCTCCGATAACGGGGCTCTTCTATCTCATACATACACACAAACAAATGCAGATGAAGAAAACTAGTGTAGTAGAAGCTTTTGTCTGCCTCAACATATACAAGAGGAAAAAGAAAGATCTTCAAATACAACACGGAAAACACCGACACAATCACACTGGATGGAGAAGTTCGGGAAGATGTGAAATCTTTCAAGTATCTGAGAAGCATCATCCGTGAACGTGGACAATCTGATGCAGACGTAAACGTAAGGATTAGCAAAATAAGGACAGCATTTCTACAGTTAAAGAACATATGGAACTCAAAACAACTCTTAACCAACATGAAAAGTAAGAATCTACAGTATAAACGTCAACACAGTTCTACTGTATAAAGCTGAAACGCGAAGAGCTACTACAACCATCACCAATAATGTACAAGCATTTATAAATAGTTGTCTACACAAGATACCCAATGTCCGTTGACAGGATACCGTCAGCAATAACCTACCATGGGAGAGGACAAATTAGTTTCCAGCTGAGGAGGAAATTAGAAAGAGACACTTAAGATGGATGGGAAATACTTTACGGAAATAATCAAACTGCATCATGAGGCAAATGGTAACCTGGAATCCTGAAGTAAAATGAAAAAGATGAAGGCCAAAGAATACACTATACCAAGAATTTGAAGCTGACATCGATTGGATTTCTTGGGACACAGTTGGATGGAGAATGCTGGTGAGCGGCTTATGCTCCTCGACGAGGAGTAATAGACGTACATAAGTAAATCATCATGTTAGTCTGTCTTCCCTGTGTTGTAAATTTACTACTGAACAGATTTTCATTTACATATGAGAGTGAAAGTTTACACATACATTCCAATAGATTTCATGGCATACATTTGTTCGTACATACGGAGAGAGAGTGTGTGTGTATGTGTGTGTGAGACAGTTTCATTCCCTTTAGAAACTTCTCAATGTTACTTTGATGTGTGCTACTGATGTCAACAGATATAAGTAGTATGTATCATCACACAAAAGTGAAATGCCTGGTGGTAGAAGGTTAAGAAGATTGAAGAGAAAAGAACAAGAATAGAGAATGATTGATGTGGAAATGAAGGAGCAATGAAGTCCGGAATGATTGTTTGACATTTTGCAAATGAACTATTTACAGTATAATTCTCAGATATGACTAAGTGATTCTGTAATTATGTGTTCAAATACACTTGGTTATCCTCGCTAGTGTTTTCTTTCACTAGACTACCACTTAGCTATGATCTCAATACGAAATTTGACTTTCAATGTTTGAATGAGATCAAGTCAAGTGAACCGTTAAGGGTTTTTTGAATTCAAAAAATGATGCATGAAACGTCATCAGGTCTTATATTGACTGAATTCGACAAGTCATTGATATTTGATAGACATTTTAGAACAATCATTGTTCGATATGGATAAACAGGTTGTCTATTCATACTTCCATTATGTAATATTCTTATATTGGCCTGATTGTAAATGTTCGTTCATTGAACCTATTAACTATTGATAACTCTCTTAACATTTATAAATTACAGTTTGGTTAATTATGTAACTCAGTAGTTGAGATCATGAGTCAATTAAAGATAGATCACCATGAAAAACCTCGGAGCATTGGATGTCCGTCTCGTCCTATTGTGAGACTGCCTCGGCAGTACGAACCCAGGACCTATCAGTCTTGCGCGCGAGCGCTTAACCATTAGACTACTGAGCCGGCATCCAGTGGTGTTAATGTCTAACTTCAACTAATCCACAAAATTGAGCGATACATTCACCATTGTCATCAGTGAGTTACCATCTCACAACTGACTCATGATCTCAACTATTGAAATTACTATAATCTCCACAAAGCCCCTTCTGATACTAATTACATATCTGTTAATCAGTTTCTTACCATAATTGACCTAATCATGCGATCAATCTACATAATCATGTGAACTTCAAATCTTAAACGATAAAAAACAAATGGATTGTCTTTTCTGGTATTATAATTCCTCAGGTTGGGGACAGAGGCAATTTACATCGACCAATCAGTGTCAAAACAGGACAACTGAGGCTAATTGATGTTACTGGAGGAATGAGTACTCTTCGTTAATGGACTCAATCAATCAATAATCCTATTAAATGAGCATATAATAGAGGGAGTTCACATCATTCATGTAAAAATAAGTCATTAGTAAGTATTCGGTTTGTGCTTTTTTGCTTAGGTAGTTTGCATCAATCTTTTTGGCTCGATAGTGAAACAGACAATCAAACATGAATACGCATTCATGATAATGAATGCACGATCTTGTCAAACAAAATTAAAAGAAGCACTGGATAGCTGTTTTGTCCTAGTATGAGACTTTTCAGAAATGCCTAGCCATGACTTCACCACGGGAAATCAAACTTACGGGTTTCAGTTCCACATCAAGCGATTAACCTCTAAACCACTGAGACAGCACTTAGTGATGTATATTACCAATTTCAATTAATTCACGATATTGGCGTGACCGTATTCCACTATCTGAGATGAATAACTGTCTCACCTGACATGGGTCAACTCTACTGATTACTCTAATTGCTGTCTCTCTCATTGATTAAAGAAATCAAGTGAATTCACTATGTAAATGACAACTATTCCAATAACTAGTAATAATGATATATACTTATACTTTTACATAATAGATACTGTTTGAATGCAGTGCTACTATCAACCCTGAATTAATTATGGGTAAATCGATGTAAATGTGAAAGCGCGGATCGGTAAAGCAAGAGCAGCATATTTACAATTGAAGAAAATTGAAGTAAATCGATGTAAATATCACAAGATAAACAAGAAACGAATGTCTACGTACTGTGCCAAACCCATCAGCAACTTGCAAAAGTATATAATACAAAGTTATTCCTTCAAAGAGATCATATTGTGGTGTGAGCTACTTATATCCATATAAGTAGTATAAAACAATAGTCAGGAGTAGAGCGTATTTCAGTAGAAGATCGAGAAGGAAACAACGGGGACAGAAAGCAATTGGCATGAAAATGTAGGAACAATGAAATCTGAGACGATGTACTGATAATTGCTAAGAAAACAGTCAACTTTGAGACAATGGATTAATATTTTGCTAAGGAAGTATTTACTGCTTTGTTCAAATACATTCGATTGTCCCCATTCGTGGTTTCGTCCACTTCATTTGTAGTCGCTACTAACCAGAAGAGGGGAAGGGTGCTGTTCTTCGGTCTCAGATTTTACTAAGGTGTTCTGTAATGTTATGCTTATATACATTCGGTTGTCCCCACTTATGTTCATGATCACTACAAGATTACCAATGGACATTGATCAAACTCACCGATTAATGTAAGTAGTGAAGCTTTCAGCGAATTAGAACAAGTCTTAGCTTTTATTATAGGAGAGGAATAATATCATTTAAGTATGGAAAACAAGCAAACATGATAGTTTTCATGGCTGAGTTGCATATTACATTATTAAAGTGAATTAATGATGACTAATCTCTTTTTAATGAGAAAATAGTCAATATCATACGGAATTCCTATGATGGATTAAACTGCGAAATCTTGCACAGAAGACTATTGACGGACCCGTTCGATGTAAAGACCGGTATCAGGCAAGGTTGCTTACTCTCACTCTTTCTCTTTCTCCTGATGATCGACTGCATCTTGAAGACGTCAACATTTGGGCTGGGAGGGGAAGCATGGGATACAATGTACAGCTAGGATGCAGCTGGACAATCCAGACTTTGCAGATGATCTGACTCTTCTATCGCACTTGCAACAACAAATGTAGGAGAAGACAACCAGTGTAGCAGCAGCCTCAATAGCAGTAAGTCTCAAAGTATATAAAGTGAAAACCAAGATTCTCTGATACAACACAACATTCACCAATCCAATCACAATTGACGGAGAAGATTTGGAAAATGTAACAACTTTTACATATCTCAGCAGTATAGTGGATCCGATGAAGATGTGAAGGTGCGGATCGGCAAAGCAAGAGCAACGTACCTACAAATGATGAACATCTGGAACTCAAAACAACTCTCAACCAATAGCAAGGTCAGAATTTTCAATACAAATGTCAAGACAATTCTACTGTATGGGGCGGGAACTTGAAGAACTATGAAAGCCATCATCCAGAAGATACAACTGTTTATTAACAGTTGCCTATGCAAAATATCTCAGATTCGGTGATCAGATACTATTAGTAACAACTTACTGTGGCAGAGAACAAACCAGATCCCAGTGGAGGAAGAAATCAGGAAGTAGCACTGGGAGTTGATAAGATACACATTGAGGAAAGCATCCAACTCCGTCACAAGACAAGCCCTCACACGGAATCGTCAAGGCCAAAGGAAAAGAGGAAGACCAAAGTACTCATTACGCCGAGAAAAGGAAACAAACATGGGAAAAATGAACAAAAATTGGAGTGGTAGTAGTTATGTAATAAAAGTAATTTAACCGTTGGATATATATGAGTCAATTAAAACTAGATCACTATGAGAATCCTGGAATCAGTGGATAATTGTTTTGTCCCATAGTATAGAACTGCTTCAACATTGCGCATTCACGATTCCACCTCGTACATGAGCGTTTAACCATTAGACCACTGATTCGACCAACATTCAACAATATCATTTCTCAATTATATTAACAAAATAAATGACTTAATTCTAGTTATATAAATATCATTTCATTCATTGAACACTTTACCTCATTTAACTTAGTGGATGTATTCGTTGTTGAAATGAATGAATCCATTATATTTCTATTTGAATTCAATGTAACCGGTAAACTTTCCAATGTTTTTTGTTTTAATTCATTACTATTATTAATTCTATTAGTAGTAATCATAGAATGTTTATATTCATTGTAGCATATCTTTGGTATAGATTCATATAATGTATGAGGCCAACTTATACAACGACGATGTTTATTCATGAATAATCCATCTTCTTTAATATGAAAATTACTTAATTGATTTGATTTCATTGATGATAGATTGATTTCATTCAGTTGTAGTGTATTACATAACCATTTCTCATTATTATTAGTAGTAGTATCAGTAGTATTAGTAGTAGTATCGGTAGTGCCATAAACAATATTCATAGTATTATTATTATTATTACTAGTAGTATCATTACTATTTGTAAAATTGAAATTTTTGACACCTATATCAGTAGTCAATCTTCTTCTTCTTCTTTTCATGAATATTGTTTTATCTAATGGAATAGTAGAATATTTCATGACATTATGATTCATATTAAATGGAGATAATGAACAATTTGATACAAATAATGGTTGATATGATGATTGACGTTGTTGTAGTAGTAGTAGTTGTTGTTGTCGTTGTTGTTCCTGTTGCTGTTGTTGTTGTGGTTGTTGCTGTCGTTGTTGTTCCTGTTGCTGTTGTCGTTGCTGCTGCTGCTGCTGATGATGATGATGATGATGATGAGGAGGAGGAGGAGGAGGAGAAGGAGGAGGACGAGGAGGATGATAAATATGTTGAAATTGTTTACTAGTTAAACTATGTGATATATAATTTGGATATGTAGATTGTATAAATTGTTTAGGAAATTGTTTTAATGATCTTGTATACATTGAATTTCTTAAAGAAAATGGATTCATTTCTTGACTCCATAATATATTAGCATTTGTTAATGGTGTAGAAACATATTTACTTGGACATATAGAATTTGTATATACTGTAGATAATGTTGGTGTAGATAATGATGATGATGTTGATGTTGTTGATGATGACGAGGATGATGATGAGGAGGCGGCGGAGGATGACGATGACAATGATAATGTCAATGATGAGGTTGATGGTGATGATGATGGTTGAAATTGTTTATTATCTGTAAGTGTTCTATTCATTATATATTGATTATGATTATCTAAATTTGTTTGTTTTATTCTATTCATTTCACGGGGATCTATATATGTGGAATCTTGTATTCCATACGAAATTCCTTGTGATGGTTTTATATATTCAACTGATGTAAATCTTCCGCAATTCATTGAATGAATATCTTCATCTGTTTGATAAATATGATCATTATGTATAAATGAAGGTGAAGATAACATTTTACTGGTAGGTATTTGATGTAAATTCTGATAGCAATTAGAATTGCGTATAGTGTATAATTTCGTTTGAGATTGTGTTGAACGATCATTCATTGTAATTCGTTTACCTTCAGGTAATCTTTGATTTGGCAACTAGAATAAACAGAAAACATAACTTCATGAACAGAAAGTAAAGTTTCTGGAACACTGGTTTGAGAGTACTTACTTACTTACTTACTTACTTACTTACTTACTTACTTACTTACTTACTTACTTACTTACTTACTTACTTACTTACTTACTTACTTACTTACTTACTTACTTACTTACTTACTTACTTACTTACTTACTTACTTACTTACTTACTTACTTACTTACTTACTTACTTACTTACTTACTTACTTACTTACTTACTTACTTACTTACTTACTTACTTACTTACTTACTTACTTACTTACTTACTTACTTACTTACTTACTTACTTACTTACTTACTTACTTACTTACTTACTTACTTACTTACTTACTTACTTACTTACTTACTTACTTACTTACTTACTTACTTACTTACTTACTTACTTACTTACTTACTTACTTACTTACTTACTTACTTACTTACTTACTTACTTACTTACTTACTTACTTACTTACTTACTTACTTACTTACTTACTTACTTACTTACTTACTTACTTACTTACTTACTTACTTACTTACTTACTTACTTACTTACTTACTTACTTACTTACTTACTTACTTACTTACTTACTTACTTACTTACTTACTTACTTACTTACTTACTTACTTACTTACTTACTTACTTACTTACTTACTTACTTACTTACTTACTTACTTACTTACTTACTTACTTACTTACTTACTTACTTACTTACTTACTTACTTACTTACTTACTTACTTACTTACTTACTTACTTACTTACTTACTTACTTACTTACTTACTTACTTACTTACTTACTTACTTACTTACTTACTTACTTACTTACTTACTTACTTACTTACTTACTTACTTACTTACTTACTTACTTACTTACTTACTTACTTACTTACTTACTTACTTACTTACTTACTTACTTACTTACTTACTTACTTACTTACTTACTTACTTACTTACTTACTTACTTACTTACTTACTTACTTACTTACTTACTTACTTACTTACTTACTTACTTACTTACTTACTTACTTACTTACTTACTTACTTACTTACTTACTTACTTACTTACTTACTTACTTACTTACTTACTTACTTACTTACTTACTTACTTACTTACTTACTTACTTACTTACTTACTTACTTACTTACTTACTTACTTACTTACTTACTTACTTACTTACTTACTTACTTACTTACTTACTTACTTACTTACTTACTTACTTACTTACTTACTTACTTACTTACTTACTTACTTACTTACTTACTTACTTACTTGCTTACTCCTGTTACTCTTCGTGAAGGAGCATAGGCCGCCCGCTAGCACTTTCCATCCAACCTTTTACTGGACAATCCTTTCTAGCTCTTTCCAGTTGTGATTCACTCTTTTTCAGATGTGCCTCGATTTCCCAACGTAATGTGTCCTTTGGCCTTCCTCTTTTCCGTTCCCCTTTAGAATTCCAAGTTAGGGTATTTGTTTGACATATGGATTTTTATTCAGTTTACGAATTTGATCCACTAACATTGTGTTTGCAAACTATTTACGATAAAAACAATCGTGTATTCACTAGTGAAGAGGTATAGTTAGAAGCAGTGATCATTGAGATCCAACTACATTAAATGTAAGTTGGTTACCTACTAGTGGGACTGGCAGGAAGTTGTAAAACACCACAAATTAATTGAAGTTATAAATGAGAATCGCTGAGTCCTTACTGAATAACCTAATGACTAAGCCCTTACCGCGAAACCTGCTGTTTCTGGGTTCGACCCCTGAAGAGGTTTTTGAGCAGATATTGATGGCTGGTGAGTTCTATATTATGACTTAAAGTTTTTCAGTGCTTTCTAGTTCTCAACGGTTGTCTAATTAAGTTTAGTTCGCTCTACAAATTATGAAATACATCTCTTACTATAATCCGAATAATCTGAGAGCAACACTAGATCACATAAGTAACGTTTAACTGAAGGCCTCATGCTTCAATATGTATCAGTTTTTTCAAATAGGATACACGTACGAAACAAAGCACGAACTTTAAGTGTCTAGTCTATTGTGCTGATCGATCACAATTCTGTTAACCTGTCGTTTCTATCAGTTATGTTCGTTTAACTAAACATACTATACTGATTTACTCTAGTGATCGAAAAGGTTTGACCAGTACTCAGGGAAATCAAACAAGTATGACACTGGTATGACCTTGAGTAATGCCTGTAAACATTCCTGTTATACAGGAGACCATTCTCTGATTGAGTAAATTCTCTGTAGAACAAAACAAAAACAGGTTGACAACAGAGTTTTCTTTGATAATCGTTTATGATGAACGTCCAAATCTTACGATATCGGGGTTTTATTTTCTCGCCGGATTACACTGAATAAACACGTTTACAGACTTTGTTGTGACGTAATCTCTACACGTTTCATGAGCAGTTGTTTTTCTCCAACTCAATGACGTATTTATATATATATATATATCCTTATCCTGACAGTGCCTTGGCGATAGCAGCAAATCTTCATGTTATGAACAAACCCATCAGTGACCAAATTCTACCAATTCAAATAATACTAAGAACACTAGACAAACATGGCATTATTCAACTACTACTCAGTTATTAATTAATGTATGTATCCAGTAGTGAGATGGTGAAGATTTGTAACTCAGGTGGATTATTTTTATGGAGTGTTGTTCCATCTGAGCTGGATGGTTCTTCTGACCAACATCATCAGCAGAAAGTTTCATCATCACACCATCTAGCTCAGAGAACAAAACACCATCGAAAAGCATCCAGTAGTTCATAGTTAGTACTTACCAATGATCCGTATCGTTCCAACGAGTGATGATGACCCCTTGGAATTATAGACTGTTTATTTAAAGTTGCACGACCTTCATAAACATTATCGTCATCATCTATATCATCAGTAGGATCAATAATAACCGGACCTACATTTTCATTCACATCATCATCATTATCATCATCATCATCATCATCATGTCCGTCATCAGTAGCGTAAACTGTCGGTATTTGATATTGATTAACATCATATGAATTTGTATTATCCCATTGATTATTGTCTAATGGATTTATATGTCGTAATAAATATAATTTCTTTAAATCCATAGGAGATTCTCTTATTTGAATTGGATCTGATTCATTCATTGTTGAATCAATATTTATTGATTGATCATAAGGTGTTGATTGAATTGTTGTTGAACTTAATTCTGATTTTTCACTAATACATTCAACATCTGGTACCATTCCATCAACAGTATGATCTAATGGATATGAATGAATCGATTTATTGATTGGTTGTAATGATGATAATTGATGTTGTGGTATATTGAATTGTTTACTATCCATCTTTGAATAAGCTGTATAATTCTCTGGTATCCAATAATGTGGATGAATATGAGATTTGAGTTGTTTAGAGACTTCAGTATGATAGGGACTGTAATAAATAGAAAAGAATGTAGACATGTATTTAATGAAGAATATCTATGGAGATATTCATAGAAATTGTTCATTTTAAAGTAACTTATTAACATCTTACTTCTGAAGATTCAGAAAACTCCTCGAAACGAAAGTCACTTACTTACTTACTGCCTGTTACACCTCGTGAAGGAGCATAGACCGCTCATCAGCATTCTCCATCCAACCCTGTCCTGGACAATTCTCTCCAGTTCCTTCCAGTTGTTATTCATCCTTTTCATATCTACTTCTATTTCCCGACGTAAAGTGTTCTTTGACCTTCCTCTTTTCCGTTTCCTTTCAGGATTCCGAGTTAGGGCTTGTCTCGTGATGCAGTTTGTCGATTTACGTAGTGTATGTTCTATCCATTTCCATCGTCTTTTCCTACTTTCCTCTTCAGCTGGAAATTGGTTTGTTCTCTCTCAGAGAAGGCTGTTGCTGATGGTATCCGGCCAATGGATGTTGAGTATCTTTCGTAGACAACTATTTATAAATACTTGTATCTTCTTGATGATGGTTGTAGTAGTTCTCCAAGTTTCAGCTCCGTATAGTAGAACTGCCTTGACGTTGGTATTGAAGATTCTGAATTTGGTATTGGTTGAAACGAAAGTCAAGTAAGGCTTTGAAAACACTGTGAAACATCTTATCCAACCTGTGTTCATTAACAATGTTGACAGAAACATTCTAGAGAGTGAAACGTCATATGTTGAGTTGCAGGTTGGTTGATTAGTAGCATACCAGAATTTTCCGGAAACTCAAGGATATCTAAAATATTATTTAATAACAACTCTAGATTTTCTGTACGTAAAGGAATCTTTGGAGTGAAGCGTTTCTTCCATATCTCATGCCTTTTCTCTTGTGTTCAAGTTGCTGTGTAGATCTAGCCTCGAGGGGGGAGGCACAAGAGGAGCTTAGGAACCGAATCTAGCATTCAATTTGTAGACTTATGAAAAATTTAAATGTATATGATAGTTGCTTCGTACTTATTCCTAAGGTTTTGAAATAATGGAGAAGGGACGGATGATTTATAGTTTATGTTGTATATTTGAGTTAGTTGATTTATGAATTAGTATTAAAATCATTCCACCATATCTGTATAAAGTATGAATTGGTGATATTGTCCAGAATGAAAATGAAACTTTCATAATTAAAACAGCTGACCAAAAGAAGAAACTTACTTACTTACTGCCTATTACTCCCATTGGAGTATAGACCGCCGACCAACTCCACCTGGAGCCCCTCCGGAGCTACTGTCGGTCTCAAGCCCGGATAACGGAAGAAGGTCGGAAATGGGGTTAGTGACCTTATCCTGCTAACCAGAAGAAAATAATTCAAAGCATTTAAACTCCACCTTGGGAGTTGGAAGAGTTATGACGACTGATGATGAAAGCCCAGTTCCCTCATAAGTCACGAGGCTGATGCCTCTTCTGACAATCAAAGCAACCATTATAGAAGGGAACATTTACAATATTTCGATTACTCTTTAGAAATCTTCATTGAAAAACTCAAATAATAAATCTAACTCATAATGATCATCATAAAATGGTACATAAGTTATCTATTCTCTAGTAATTGTAGTAGTGAACGAGAATGTAAGTAGGAACAATTGAATGTGTTTGAATATAAAATTCTAAAATTTCTTGGTAAAATCTGATAAACAAATTGCATATGCAAAACGTCAATCAATCATCTCAGACTTTCCATATAACATCCATTCTCTGTTCTTATTCTCTTTACTTTGATCTTCTTAACTTTCTGATGTCATCAGGCATTTCACTTTCTATTGATGATACATACTACTTACATCAATTCTTATAAAATGAAACTGAAAACTCTGTTAAAATTGTAAATCAATAAAAATTGATTTTTTTCTATAATTTTATTAGGATCGTGAATATGCATCATTCAGAAGTTGGTTGCCTAGTAGAATGAAAAAGCCAACCAAAGTTTATTGGGTTCAATTGAGAATAATCTACGACTAATGATATAAACTACAAATATTTAGTTGAAGTTAGACATTAACGCCGTTGGAGGCCAGATCAATGGTCTAGTCGATTAAGCGCCTGGCTTGAGACTAATAGATCCTGGGTTAGAATCCCGCGAGGCGTGGTCGTGGATGCGCACTGTTGAGGAGTCCCACAATAGAACGAAACGGCCGTCTAATGCTTCTAGGTTTCCCATGGTGGTTTTCATGGTCTCAACTGTTTAAATTACAAATGTTTTATCAATAATTAAGCATGATTTAATAATCAGCGTATAAATTTTTTTCCCCCTCTTTTCTCTCTCCCGCTCTCGCTCTCTCTCGCTCTCTCTCTGTCAGAGAAAATTATGCAAACAGTTACAAATGTAAATGAGGTGTGTGTGTGTGTATGTGTGTTTGTCTTAAGACGATCGCTTTAGGCAACTACATCTTATGGTTTCTCCTCTGAGACGTCTCTCTATTTGTCTGTCTATCTTTCATTGTATTTATGTTAGTTTACTTTCATATGTTTGAGAGTTGGGATTGTTAGCATATAGTGTGTATTAGTCTATGAGAATGTATGTATAATGTACAATGTATATCCATACTTCGAACAGAATAGAAAGATTAGATTTAATCCAAAGGTGTTTCAATTTATTTATTCTTATATCATTTTGTATAACTTTGAATGTTCTTATTTCATTGTTTATTCCCTTGAGATTTTAAGTGTTGCTAAACAAACATACACATCCAATTATTTGCTTGTATCTTCCCATTGTAGTTTAGGACTGCAATTGATCAGTCTCTTGTTGGCATATATACATCTTGTCCGTATTACCTCGATATTGACTTAATTCATAAGTATTATAAGCAAAGATGGATAGTGGTTAGCAGTGGAGCCCAGGACGCACGTTTCGTCCTAGTTGGAACTCATCACCTGGAGGTACCTGCATCTCAGAGTTGATATTCACTCTAGGACTCGAACCCATTACTCTACCGTTCGGTTCAAACTCCACGTATTTTATGAATCCTGATAGCCACTTTCTTGTGCAATGAGGTGAAGTTTAGATTCAATTGGTATTGTTTACTTGAATCTTCTCATTGATGTTAAGGACTGCAATTGATCAGTCGCTTGTTGGCATATATACATCCTGTCCGTATTGCCTTGACATTGACTTAATTCATAAGTATTATAAGCAAAGATGGATAGTGGCTAGCAGTCGAATCCAGGACTGGATAATGTGATGGCGTTTGAGGCGGATAGTACTGGATCCCAGTATCGGAGTGAACATCAACTCTGAGATGCAGGTACGTTCAGCTGATAAGTCCAGATGGAACGAAACATTCGTCCAGGATTCCACTGCTAGCCATCAACCATCTTTGTCTACATATATATATGCTTAAAATGCATATAACCTAAAAGAGACTAATCAATTAACAGAGTCCTTAACATCAGCAGCGGAAAGATTGTAACTGTGATAAGAAAAATAAATCTTTTTAAACAGAAGCTAATATGTACACTAATTAATGATTCCAGTAACAATATCGATTATTTTAGATAACTTCATGTTACTTTTTATTCTGTGTATTATCTGCCATTTAACTAAATTCATTCTGTACCAGCTAATATCATTAGCCATTTTTATACTACTAACTAGAATCATTAAAAGTATCATCAATGTTCTATAATGGACAGATTTTCAATAGTTGAAATCATGAGTCAATTGAAGCTAGATCACCATGGAAAACTTAGAAGCACTGGATGACCGTTTCGTCATAGTATGGGACTGCTTCAGCAGTGTGTTATCCACGATCCCGGCCCCCGCGAAATTAGAACCCAAGACCTATCAGTCTCGCGCGTGAGCTCTTAACCATTAGACCACTGATCTGGCCTCCAACGATGTTAATGTTTAACTTCAACCAATCCACAAATAAATAGATTTTCATGATAAAATAGTTATCAATCTCAACTGTAATCTGTAATTGGTGCATCTTTCATTTAAATGCTTAGACATAGACTTGTTCTTCCAAATTCCTAGTAGTTTATTGTTGAGATTTAAAGTAAAAGAAATCAAATAGTAGAAGATATGAAGGTAGCTTATGTATGGAAAACAAAGTTATTTATGTATGACCTCAGGAGAGTTCGGACGCTTCTGGAAGGTAAGATAAATTGTGTAATACAATTAGAATGTTGTTTAATCAGATAACAAGAATATAAATTATCATTTAGGAAGCTTTTAAAGAACATTAATTTGTCAAAGATTTTTCAGCATTTTATTAGCTTTGAATATCATTTCAAAGGAATTGTTGAAAGCTCCTAGCAGTTATATTTTTTTGATGTTTTATTTTACAGAAATGTCTCATTGTAAATTATTGCCCTTAAATGCCATGGTACGGCCAATGGTAGGGAAAGTTAGTTCTCCCTCTCTAAATGCTCTCATATGACCATACATATACAGCCATTATCAGGAAGTCGTACTTACTGCCTTCTTGTTTACGTAAATGAGAAGATGAAAAGCGAATGTCCGGTGCTTTAACCAAGTTGGTAGATATGCAGTTTCATCTATAGTAGTTGGAAATCTCTGATTCCAAACTAATCGTACACATGGACTCCAGAATCCTAAGAGAACAAAAGATGTATGAACCTATTGTTTGGCACCGGTTTCCATTGGACTGCATCTCCTTATGTTGTTCCATTGCCTTGCGGATTAGACCTTTAGCTCGAGGCCTCCAAGTGTGGTCTCCTAAGAAAACCACTCAAGCAGTATCACAACCCACATACAAATCCACTGACTTGTGTGACCTATATGTATTCGATGTCCCTTTATACCAATATTTATATGTTCAAATAAATAAAATTTCAACATTAATTATTTATACAAATCAATGCATTTCTAAAAGTAAGTAAGCAAATAAGTAGTAAGTAAGTAAGTAGGTAGGTAAGTAGGTAATTAATCAATTAGGTAAATGAGTAAGAAGTGGTGGGTATAAACGCTGGAATGAAAGTTTACGAATCAAAAGTTCAGTACTCTTCTAGTAACGACGGATTTCTCAGAATGCGATGGTTCCAGGTCTGTACCTATATGACTTCTTCACGTTCCCCGGTAGCTGGGGCACTTTTGTGTGCAGCCTTGATGTCTAGCTGCTTTCGAGCTGCTTTACCTCCTGTTGATTTACGAGCAGTCTGTTTGGTTCGTGCCATTCCAATATACCGATCTAAGTAAGTAAGTGATTAGGTAAGTGAGTAAGTAGGTGGTGGGTAGTAAGTATGTAGGTAGGTAAGTAAGTGGGTCAATAGGTTGCTAAGTAAGCAAAGTAAAGTAAAGTGATTTATTTATTTATTTATTTTAACACATAGACATTGGTACAAGGAGGCACCAAATACATATGCGCCACACAAATATCATTCGATATGTGTGAGGGCTGTGATACTGCCCGGGTGCCCAAACCAAAGCAGGTGGTTTTCTTAGGGGGCCACTCCCCGAGCCTTCGACCTAAAGGTCTGATCCACAAGGCAGTGGAGCATCGTAAGGAGATGCAGTCCCATGGAAGCCGGTGACCAACGATTGGTTCATACGCCATTTGTTCCCGCAGGATACTGTAGTCCATGTGCACCATTAGTTTGGAATCCGGTTAAAGCGCCGGACATTGGCTTTTCGTCCTCTCATTTTCGTGAACAACACCCCCCGCCACGAGAAGGCAGTGAATAGGACTTCCCTGTCAGAGGCTATATACGCGTGGCCATATGAGAGCATTTGGAGAGGGAGAGCGGACTCTCCCTACTCTCGACCATACCAGGGTATTTGGGGACAAAGTAAAGTGAACTAACTAACTTACCTATATGATCGATGAGATTGTTTAGGACTTGTGATAATTTACGTTGTGCTATGATTATTTGTCGTTTATTGAATTGTGGAATATCTTCATGATTTATATGAATTTTTAATTTTTTCGCTTTTGGTGATACATTTGTAAAATAATAATTCGATGATTGAATAATACATTTATTAGATCTTGGATTTGATCTTTGATTTAAATCCATTTGATTTGATCTCATAATGATTGATTGTAATGTAGGTTTATATAAAATTGTTGTTGATTTATTCACATTCATAGATGATTCTTGTTTATTCATCTCTGATGATTGAATAGAATAAGTTTCATATGGATCTATAGATAAATAACCAGAATCTTGTGTTGAATTCATACCTAATTTAGGTGGATGTGATAAATTTGATTGAATATTGATTTTATTGTGATTAATTTGATTTGATAAATGAATTGATTGTGATAATTTACATGTTTGTATTGATTGTACTTGTTTTTCTTTGGATTCTTTTTCTTTTTTATTCTCGTTCTCGTCGTCGTCGTCATCGTCGTCGTCCTCATCATCGTGTCCTTCTTCTTCTTCTTCTTCTTCTTCTTTCTCTTCTTCGATTTGTTGTTGTTTTAAATTTGATTGTAATTGATTAATCGATGATATTTCATGATTATTTTGTTTATTCATGAATTCATTAGATAATAAAGAAGGTTTTAGTATATGAGTTAATGTAATAGAAGTATTATTAGGTAGAATAGTTGATAAATGGAATTGGAGATAATGTTTTTTTAATATTTTGATTAGGTAATAATGTATATCCTTCAGAAGTATACGATTTTGTATAAGAAGTTAAATGATTCAATGGTTGTTGATTTTGTTGTCCATATGATGATATATTAACCTGTTAAAGATAGATAATAATAATAAGATTATAGAAATGATGAAATTTTCATCGTTTCCATTCTCTTAGTAATCGAATGAATCATGAAGACGTCAACATCTGGGCGGCGGGAAGAAGCGTGGGATGCAGTGAACAGTTAGGATACATTATAAACAAAGATAGATAGTGGTTAGCAGTCGAATTCAGGACGCGCGTTTCGTCCTGATTGAGACTCGTCAGCTGGATGTACCTACATCTCAGAATTGATGTTCACTCTGATCAGACTGATCAATTTCAGTCCTAAAACATCAATGGTAAGATTCAAGTAAAACAATACCAAGTGAGTTAGGTTGCAGCTCGACAATCTAGACTTCGCAGATGATCTGACTGTTTTATCGCACACGCCACAGAAGTAGTAGGTCTTTATTTTTACATTGTTAGGGATATTAAATCCCAAGAAATTACTCGATAAGAGTTTTTATTTTTGTAATTATATTTTACACTGCTGAGGAATCCCATATTAGGACGAAACGGCCGTCCAGTGCTTTCAGGTTTTCCATGGTGATATAGCTTCAAATGACTCATGATTTCAATCAGTGAAATTTTAGGATTTCTCATTTTTGTGTTAAAATTGCCCATTTTTACCTTCAGATTGTATTTCCCACTTAAAAGGACCTTAAATATCATTGGTTGGTTTCCTTTTTTAATATGCTATTTTATGACCTTTCCTAAGGACATTTTCATACTGTATATATACACTTGAGTTGTGTGGTTGTTCGTTTGTGCTTCCTACTGTTTGTGAAATATACTTTCTCCTTGGTTAGATTTATCTCCTTTCTTTAGCTAGCAGAGCTGAAACATATTGGAATAGTTTAGCTTGTCCTATTTTTGTGTTGCTGACTTTGTTCCATTCACCAGTTTAAGTGATATCTAAATCTCTTTAATTGTAGCACAATGATATTTCGAATGTTGAAAATGATGAATATATTAACAATTGGACTGAATATTTTTGATAAGCTAAGCAAGATAGACTAGACTATATGGCGTTACTATAGGTGAGTGACTTATCCATTTAGGCAAGATGATCACTAAGAAGTCTCTGTCTATTTGTTTATCTAGGCGGTTATAAATACAAAAGAGTTGAGTAAATCACTATTCAACTTTCAACAATAAGGATTCTTGACGAGCAATAGTTATTTCTTTTTCCATATTAAACTGGTTAAGTATTTGGATGTATTCATTTATAACTGAATCAGATCATCCAACAAAACAATGTATCTCAGATTTAGATGGTGGTTGGAGGTAGTCAACAGGAAACCCTGGACCCGGGTTTCGTGCTACCTGGCACTCGTCAGCAAGGTGCACCTGTAATCTTGAGGGAACTGGTGCTCTCTGGCGGATTCGATCTCGTGTCACCCAGTTTCACAGTCATAGACGTTACCACTGAGCCATCCGAGCCTTGATTAACCCACTGTAGGACTGAGATGTAATTACAATTGATTGATCACTGGGTGGTGATCAATGTCTTGCTTGTCTAGGCCACATTGCAACATGATCGATAGCATTCGATCTGTAGTAATAAGGACTAGACAAGCGAGACATTGATCACCACCCAGTGATCAATCAATTGTAAAAACAATGTATCGCTCAGTTTTGAGAATCAACAGAAGTCAAAAATTAATATGGGATTGTAGAGATGATTTAAACGTTTGATTGAGATCATGATCCTGTAAATGGGATCGTGGATGCGCACTGCTGACGATTCTCACAATGGTCATCTAGTACTTCTAAATTTTCAATGATGGTCTAACATCTATCGATTCATGATCTCAATCAGAAGTCAAATATATTCTAAAATGACTATATTCTATGCATTAAACTAAAACAATCATTACTTACCATACTATTCATATAAGGATCTATTGATGTTTTACATATATCTATAATATCACCAGTGGATGAACTCATTGTTTTGTTAACATTTCATTATTTCTTTCTATTGGTATAGTTTTTTGTTCTACATCTTCATTAGAAACTTCTTTCAATGGTGATATTGTTCTATCATTAGGTGAATAACTTCGTGTTATACCTTTAACATTTAATGATGTTTCATTCATGAATGTTTTATGAGGTGCAGAATATGGACGAATACATTCATCAGTTATTGTTATTGTTGTTGCTGTTGTTCTTGTTCCTGTTGTTGTTGTTGTTGTTGTTCTTAATGATGATGATGATGATGATGCCGATAGTGGTGGTGGTGGTGTTGACATGGTAACATTCAGTAATTCATTACTCTTTGTCATCGGTTTTACAGATTGATTTAACTGTGGATTATTCAAATTTGCAAAACATTCAAATATATCCATAGATGTTTCATCTATATGATCCATTGAATTTGGTGTAGAGTCACGTGATAAGAATTTTTGAAAGAATTTACGTCTTTTTTGTGGATATTGCCGTCGTTGCTGTTGTTGTTGTTGTTGTTTCAACTCTTGTATATTGGTTAATGAATGTATAGAAGGTTTAATCATTTGATATGATTGTAATTGTTGGGGATATTGTCGTTGTAAACGATTATGAATAAAGGGTTGATTTGTTGGACTATTCATTAAATGAGATGTCATATCTTCTATTTTTAATGTTGGAGAAGAAGATGAATAAGATTGATTCATTGGTAAATTTGAAGAAGTTGATAAATGATCCATAGAACTATTGGATGAATATAATCTTGAAGATTTTATTTCATTGGAAGAATCATAAATATTGATTTCATATTGACACTTTTTTCTCCATTCAATTCCTTGTGTTTCGGTTTTGAGAAAAGTATAATCAAATATATATAACATTGAATTATATGATAAGCATGAAAAAAATAATGAGATAGGTTAGTAATCATGTTTTTCATCAACTGAGATGGTTAAGCCATGGGTTGCATATGCCTGAACACCGATTACCACGACACACAATGCTGACTAGTTTTGGAGATGCTTGGGAAAAGTTTGAGGCAGCCAAACTAAAACGCGACATCAGTACTTGAAGTCACAAACTTCTAGTCTGAGCCATGTTGGTAGATACAGACTACTTGGTTGGAGTCCATGTGACTATTGTAACCAATGGTTGGAGACTCTGAGTGACATGACTCAGAATCGATCAAAATGGAGTAGGTGTATACAATCTCTATCTTCTCTTAAACTGTGAGATTAAAATTGCTTTATATCTTTCTTTCTATGAATGTTGGGGACGTTAGATCCCCCAGAACTTAATTGGGATGGGATCTAATTTTGTAATTTTATTAAGAAAATTTGAATTTCTTTATTTTCGCGCCAAAGGCGCCTTGTCACCTTCATGGTGTATTTCCCACTGGGAAATATCTTAAATGCTGTTGGTCCGTTGTGTCTTTTAGTATGCTATTTGGTAACTCTCCCCAAGGACGGCTTTGTGATCGCTCGTTCTGGTGTTTGCAGAATATACTTCCTCACTCAAGCTTGGACTTCTCCCTCTAGTTAGTGGGGCTGGGATGCATCAAATAGCTAGCTTACTGGTCTTTGGTCACCGAGTCTTGTTTCTCGTTCGCCGATTAAGTGAACTCGTGATAGCTTCAACCCAAGCAATGAACTAATTCTTTCTTCCTGTACTATATCATTATATTCAATCTTTCTTTTATATATTACCACCATTGAAGGGACTACTTCTATTAATTTGGTGTTCATCTTGTTGTACTAATGAGATATGCTAACTTGAACCGATGCATATATGTGCTTGATCCTACATTGTAGCTGATTGGTTGATTGACAGTGTGTATACGTTTATTTACCTAAACCTTGGCATTTTATCTTCGTACAAGATCTAATGTTTTGAAAAACACTTGTTGTTTACTTATGTGACGCGTTTATACTCAACAATTTGACCAACTATCAAGAACACCATATGACCAGAACGAGGTATATTGTGACAAAATACAGAGGCAGATATATATAAGCCATTATCCAGAAGATACAGGTGTTTATTAAAGTTGCCTATGCAAAATACTTCGGATCCGTTGGTCAGACACTATCAGCAACGACCTAATATAGGAGGGAACAAACCAGATTCTAGCAAAGGAAGAAATCGGGAAGAAGCACTGGTAGTGGATAGGACACACATTGAGAAAGCACCTAAATGCATCACAAGAAAAGTCCTCACTTGGAACCCTCAATTCCAAAGGAGAAGAGGAAGGCCAGAGAACACACTACACGGAGGAATGGAGATAGACACTAGAAGAATGAACAACAATTGGATAGAACTAAAAAGATGGCGGAGGACACAGTGGGTTGGAAAATGCTGGTCGGCGGCTTATACTCTACTGTGAGTAACAGGCGTAAGTAAGTAATAAATATATAACATTATAAATACTAACTAACATATCTGTCTGTTTGTACTCAGTGACCAATCATGGCTTATTTCCCACCAGAGATCCATCAAAATTCTACCAACCAGCTGTTTAGACTATGTATATGGCAGGAGATTTGAGATCAATGAGTAAGTGGTTGCAAGTCAAATGATTCAAACATGAAGTCCTAGATCCGCAGTAGAATAGTGCCGACAACTTGAATGATAAAGAATATTTTAAGCTTATGTAAGGATATCATTCTGAAGGTGTAGGGTTCTATAATAATTTATGTAACATAATGCCCCCAAATGCCCTGGTATGGTCGAGAGTAGGGAGAGTCCGCTCTCCCTCTCCAAATGCTCTCACACGGCCACGCGTATATAGCCTCTGTCAGGGAAATCCTACTCACTTCCTTCTCGTGGCGGGGGTGTTGTTCACGAAAATGAGAGGACGAAAAGCCAATGTCCGGCGCTTTAACCGGATCCCAAACTAATGGTGCACATGGACTACAGTATCCTGCGGGAACAAATGGCGTATGAACCAATCGTTGGTCACTGGCTTCCATGGGACTGCATCTCCTCACGATGCTCCACTGCCTTGTGGGTTAGACCTTCAGGTCGAGGGCTCGAGGTGTGGCCTCCTAAGAAAACCACCTGCTTCGGTCTGGGCACCCGGGCAGTATCACAGCCCTCACACATATCGAATGATATTTGTGTGGCGCATATGTATTTGGTGCCTCTTGTATCAATATCTATGTGTTCAAATAAATAAACATGTAACATAATATATGGTAATATAAATAATAATTTAATATTATGCAACAATTTCTATTTATATGATAGAATTCATAGTTTACTGGTTGATGAAATTTCGGTTCTAATTGAAATGCTAATTCTCTTGCTTGATTAGATAAATGCAATGCTTTCTGTATCATAGACATGGTTAAATCAGCTGCTTTACGTGCTTTCAATGCACTAAAACACAAATGAATTTAGTAAAACAATAATAAGAATAACACATAAACATTAGTACAAGAAGGTATCAAATATAAATATGAGCCACATAAATCATTCGATCTGTTTGAGGGCTGGAATACTTTCAGGGTGCCCGAACCGAGGCAGGTGGTTTAACTAGGCGGCCACAACCCGAGAATTTGACCTAAAGTTCTAATCTGCAAGGCAGTGGAGCAATGTAAGGAGATGCAGTCCCATTGTAGTCGGTGACCAAAGATTAGTCCATACGTTTTTGGTATTTTCAGGATTCTGGAGCCCATGTACACCATTGGTTTGGAATCAGGGATTTCCGACTCCCCTATGTGGATCCTTAATATCCATTAACATTGTTAGAGCGTCAGACATTCGCTTTTCGTTCTCTCAATTTCGTAAACCCTAACACCCCCGCCACGAGAAAGCAGTGAGTGCGACTTCCCTGACAATGGCTATATACGCGTGGCCATGTGAGAGCATTTGGAAAGGTGGATCTGATCCTCCCTACTCTCTGCGTACCAGGCATTTGGGGGCAATATCCATCAAACGTAACATACCTGTATTGAATCCTAAAGACTGAAGAATCAAATACGAGCGAGAATCTCGACAAAGATGGAAAAAATTCTGAACTATTCTATAATAAATAATTTAGTTCATAATATCTTTACATTAGATTTTATTCAATTCATTGACTATCAGCATATATGTTTAACTATTCTTATATTTTGTTGAGGATGTTAGATTCCCAGAACTCACTTAGTAAATGTCTTATTTTTGTAATTCTATTTTAACAATTTGTATTTCTTGTTTCCGCGCCAAAAACACCCTTTTTTCACTTTCATATCGTATTACCCACTTACTTATTTACTTACACCTGTTACTCCTAATGGAGCATAGGCCGCCGACCAGCATTCTCCAACCCTATCTTTCCGCCGCCTTCCTTTCTAGTTCTGTCCAATTTTTGTTCATTTTTCTCATGTCTGTCTCCTTTTCTCGGCGTAATGTGTTCTTTGGTCTTCCTCTACTACTTTGGCCTTCAGGATTCCATGTGAGGGTTTGGCTTGTGACGCAGTTGAGTGCTTTCCTCAATGTGTGTCCTATCCACTTCCAGCGCTTCTTCCTGATTTCTTCCTCCGCTAGAATCTGGTTTGTTCTCTCCCACAGTTGGTTGTTGCTAATAGTGTCTGGCCAACGATCCGAAGTATTTTGCGTAGACAACTGTTAATAAACACTTGTATCTTCTGGATGATGACTTTTGTAGTTGTCCAAGTTTCCGCACCATACAGTAGAACTGTCTTGACATTTGTATTGAAAATCCTGATCTTGATGTTGGTTGACAGTTGCTTTGAGTTTCAGATGTTCCCCAGTTGTAAATATGTTGATCTTGCTTTGCCGATCCGCGCCTTTACATCTGCATCAGATCCACCCACTTTGGAGGACCATAAATTGTGTTGGTTCGTTGTCTCTTTTAATATGATATTGTGTAATGTTTCTCAATGACATTTTTGTGTTGTATATATATACGCTTGAGTTGTGCTTATTGTGGTTGATGTTCTTGATTCTGGCTGTTTGTAGAATATATTTCCCTTTTTCGAACTTAAAGTTCGCCCTCTAGTTTTCGGAGCTGGGATACGTTGGAACAGCTAGATTATTGATCATTATGTCACAGAGTTTTCGTTCCGTTCTCAGATTGGGTGAACTCGTAATCTTTTTTTTTTCGTTTCATAAACACAAGTTTTTCATTTGAATTTCTCTTGAGCCGACTCTTTTATGAATTTTAAAGAGGTTTCTGGTGAACCGAAGTAACCAGAATGACCTAGATAGTCCAAGATTGAGCTTTTGATTGACTTCTATAATCTTTTAGAGGGCTAGGGAGGATAATGTTCAGAGATGTTTTTTATTGCTTTGTATTCAGGTCGATATTGTCTGTAAAATAATTGATTAATGTAAATTCACTAGAGCGCGATGATCAGTCAGTTATCGATTTATTCACGAAATATATTTGTAAGACATTATTGTGGAAAGATTTCTGTGAGAACAGCTGACAGGCGAACTCGAGAAAGCTCTAAGAAGCCCAGAAAGAGGCGAAGACACTCCATCCAATCATCTTTTGGAAGAATATTCCAGAATCCTTACATGTAGCTTGCCTATTGTACAAATGTTAATAACCCCCTGTACGTGAATTGAATGTCTATAATGATCATTACTTTTTCAGTAAAAACTATAAATACCTGACAGCTTTGTATCATAAATGACATTGTTTGAAGTAGCATTCTTTTCACTTATCCTCTGTCTTCTTATATGCAATATGGAGGGTTCTAGCGTCCGAGTGCTCAAGTTATACGTGGTATATTAAGAATCTAAGCTCTAGATATAACAATTTCTTGTTCGATAAAGTTTTATTCAGAAATCAATTTTCAAGTAAGATTGATGTTAACTCCAAAACAAAATCGTGTCTTTTACTATTATTCTCATTAAAACTTGAGTTCATAAATGATCATATACCCATCTCTTCATGTTCCCAATATGTAAAGTTCTCAACAGAGAACAATACTGGAAAGACATAAAGGGGATATAAATGTCAAATAATTCAAGAGTTGAAGAACTTTACTTATGAGAATGGTTGTGACTTTATATCCGGCTAGTTATCACGTGATTTATCCACCAATCAAAATACGACATATACAATCTTAGCACTGTGCCAAACCAATGACGTTCGACCGATATGGGCAGCCTAGTATCCTTATTGGTCCTATGTCTACTTAGCCCGTCCACTTGAGTCCAGAACACCAATACCAGCTTCCACTATGTGAATCGAATCGAATCGTTTATTTCAGACATACTGGGCTTATATATCAATCAAACAGACCGCAACGCACCATAAAATAGGAAATAACATTTGTACACAATAAAGCCAAAAAGTGGCTGGTTAATAAACTGAGCATAATTTAGGGACAGTAAATCGTATAATAATAAATTATAGGTCAAAATAAAGCATATAACAAGGGAATATAGATATACATAATCTAGTTACTGAATATGTATACCATAAGAATATATGAATAATAATAGTTCATTAATAAGTCACAGACGCTACTCGTAATGTCATCTTCACCAGGATATAACAAGAATATTTTAGTATAGTTTAAACAAATGTCCTGCTAAGGAGTCCCACAATAGGATGGAACGACCGTCCAGTGCTTTCAGGCTTTCTATGGTGGTCCAGCTTCAATTGACTCATGATCTCAACTATTGAAATTACTACAATATCCACAAAAACCCTTTTGATGATACTGAACATATGCTCACTAGTGACTGGCTTCAAGAGGTATTTGTTGTAGTTCTAGTGATATGCAGTAACCAGTGGAGTTCAACCGGGTCTGTTGTGAGATATTAAATCACTAAAGACAATAGTGGATGTGTCACTCAATCTCGTAGATTAGTTGAAGTTAGACATTAACACCATTGAATGCTGGCCGGCTCATTTGTCTAGAGGTTAGGCGCTCGAATGCGAGACTGATAGGTCATGGATTTGAATCTTCCAACGCAGGATCATGGATGTGTACTACTAAGATGTCACACAATACAATGAAACGACCATCCAATGCTTCCAAGTTTTCCAATGATGATCTAGTTTCAATTAACTTATAATCTTAACCCTATCTTATATAGAAACAATTTATCATATACTACTTACTTTACTTTTGCTTCTTCTAATGCTATTAATTTAGCTTGTTTGCTGCAGTTTCAGCACGTATTAATGCATATTCAACACATTCTTTTAATTTTGTTTGACGTACTAAATGTAATTTATTTTTACGATTAATTTTATTAATTAATTGATTCGCTTGAAATTGTCCTTCATCACGTGTACCATTTGGATTAATTAATATACCATAACCATGTTTTTGATTACGTATCCATTCACCAATATATATTAAACCATTAGAACGTTCTGATATACCATAACCAGAACGTTGATCTTGAAACCATTCACCAGAATATATTTCTATTACACTAATGTATTGATTATTATTATTATTATTATTTGATTGAAAATCAATAATATAATCAATATTTTTTTGTATTTTTTCTTTTTTATTATATTATTTCCATGTGTATCATTTAGATTACTTAATGGATTATTAATAGTAGTATGAGTAGTAGTATTATTAGTAGTAGTATTGTCATTAGTAGTATTAGTAGTAGTAGTCGTAGGAGGAGGAGTATTGTTATAAGTAGTATTAGTATGAGTAGTAGTAGTAGTAGTGGTAGGAGTAGTATTAGTACTATTTATTGACCGACCTAATTCAATTGCTGAATGTTGTTTTTTTAATCGACGCATAATTGCTCTACCAATTACAGCTTTACGACTTACTGATAGAGTTTCTTTTAATGGTAAATTTATATTAGAACTATGATGTTTATCATTAGATTTAAGTGATTGATTAATGATATGAATGTTTTTCATTTGATCTAATTCATTTAGATATTCTGTTTTTGTAATCGGTATCTTTGTTGTTGTTGTGGTGGTGGTGGTGGTGATACAGGTGGTGGTGGTACAACTGGTGGTGGTGGTGGTAGTGGTAATAGGATTAGTAGTAGTAGTTATTGTTTCCATGTTTATAGTAGTATTTGATAAATTATCTGATAATGTTGTATTAGTTTTATAACTAATAAATGATTTACGAACACCTAAACCATGACGAAATCCTTTTGACCAAGCACCAGCATATATACCTATAATAGAGAAAATAATTGAAAACGACATTAAGAAAATAAACAAACAAAAGAATTTTATATGGAAAAAGGAAGAAAATAAATAAATCAGTATTAGAAGGAGGGTTGTATGGAGATTTTAGGAATCTAATAGTTGAATTCATGAGTTAATTAAAGGTAGGTCACTTGGAAGGACTGGACGGCTGTTTCGTTCTAGAATGGGACTCTTCAGGAGTATGCATCCACGATACCGCCTACGGTATTCGAACCTTCAAGTAATCCATGAAATCGCGCCACCATCCATCATTATCTTCAATAAGTTACTATCTCATCTGTATCTTCCCATTAATGTTTAGGACTGCAATTGATCAGTCTCTTATTGGCATCTGTACATCCTGTGCGGATTTCCTTGATATAACCTTAAGTCACAAGCTTTTTAAGCAAATATGGATAGTGGCTAGCAGTGGAATCCAGAACGCGCATTTTATCTTATCTGGGACTCATCAGCTAGATGTACCTACATACAAAAGTTGATGTTTACTTCCGGACTCGAACCCAGTACTGTTAGCTTCAAACACCATTGCGTTATCCATCGAGTCCTGGAGTAAACATCAACTCTAGATGCAGGTACATCCAGTTGACAAGTTCCGAATAAGACGAAACGCGCATCCTGGATTCCACTCCTATCCACTATCCATCTTTGCTTATAAAGATGATTCGTCACAAATTGACATAAGCTGAAGAATCGACATAAGCAACGAAACATTGGACAGTTGTTTTTATTCTGATATGGAATTCTCTAGTCATTCATATCAACATTTTCACATTGATTCGAATCCACAGCATTCAGATCTCATGGCAAGTTCGTTACCTTTAGACCATTAAATAGTAACTAGTGAAGTACATTTATATCAGGAGTGTGATATTTAGCTATCAAACGAATAGGATGACTTTCTAACTAAATCACAATTTGTTTGAAGCCGGAATTACTGGTAAGAAAACTGATAAGACAATTTATATTAATACAAGTTCTATATTTATTAATATCTCTCATTTTATGTTTATTTTTCAAATTATGTACAAAGTATGTACTAATGATATCCAACGGTGTTAATGTCAAACCTCAACCAATCCACTTAATTACGCAACCATCTCCCATTTTACTGAGGTAGATATCAGTTTCTACCCGATACGGATTAGCTCCACTAGTCATGACTTCTCGCTAGAACTCCAAGAATTTCCTCACGAAGCTAATCATTAGTGAGCACATGGTAATTATCAATCAGCATAAAGTTGTGGAGTTTACTAAGTTTTTGATTGAGATCATGAACCGATTGATGTTAGACTACCATTGAAAACCTGGAAGTACTGGATGACCGTTTCGTCCTATTGTGAGACTCCTCAACAGTGCGCATCCACAATCTCGCTCGCGGGATTCAAACCCAGGGTATTTGGTCTCGCGCGCGGACGCTTAACCTCTAGACTACTAAGCTGGCATACAACGATGTTAATTCGATTGTCACTATTTGTGTGTTCTCATTCACCACACAATTTCATAACAAAATTTATTTTATATACAACTGAATATGAATCGAGTTTAGTTATATACTTGTTAAAAAACCAGTAGGTAATAGACGGTTTTGTTTCATCCCAATTTTGAATTCATCATCAGTGTTCATTTATAAGCTTAACAACAATCGACTATAGGACCTTCAAGTCTGGTGATAGGAATGTAATCCTTAGAGATAACTGAGTTGATATTCAATGGTTTACATGTTAAAGTCTCCATTAATTTGTCATATTCTTATTATTCTCTGATATCATTCAATCAGATGCATATATGCCTACTTCTTATATTCAAGTTAAACTTCAATCGTGAATTACATGACGCACAATGAATAGGAAGCTGTAACTATCAATCATAGCCTATTGTATATAATATATCAATATATACATATTCCTCTCTCTTGGATATAAAGTCTAAGATCTTAACAAAATATATCATTAGCTTCATATAATAGTGTGCACAAACTTCTATCTAAAGTTTGTGCTGATTATGTTGTTCAGAAGAACTATGGAAGCTGTATCATCAAACCATCTAGCTCAGAGAACAAAACACTAAGATCATCCATTTGAGCTACAAATCTTCTCCACCAACTAGAAATACACAATCAGTTTCTTTGAGATTACTGGGACAATTTGTTGACCAGCACCAAATAATACTAAGTATGTTATAAGAAATCACTAGGCTCAGTTGCAACTTGATAAAAAAAACCATAATGACTTAAATCATAATGGTACATATGGTCATAAATTGTCTAGACTTTTCATTCGAATATAATTCTATTGGTAAAGTTGCAGTGTGGCTATTAGTCTAAGTGACTCGAGATTGCGTAAACTATGCCTGAATATTAAATAGTTGGAGATGGTCAGCGGGAAATTTTAGATATAGGTTTTATCCTAGCTGACACTTAAAAGGTAGGATTATGTTTAGTTTTCAGTGAATGGTTACTCCTTAAGGAATTCGAAATCTTCGTCTCCCACTATCATAATGTTAGTCATGTTATCATTGATTTGTTCAGACCGGTATAATTTCGTTCATGTTTTGAGATATAGGCCTTCCTATAGAGTGTCAACTAATATGAAACTTATATCGAAGAGGGAGTTTCAATAATCAAAATACTTAGCAACCCATTTTTTAAAAAAGTAAACTGACTACTGTACATATCGAAAAATGATAACATACTTCCATCAGCGCATGTTTCAATTCCAAAACCTTCAAATCGATTTACATTCCAACTACCTTCATATTTTGCTTGACTATTTATTGATGTTTTAACTCCATATTGACCAAAAGCACCTGAATTAAATTCACCTTGATAAATCCATTTTCCTCTCACTTGAATACCATTACCATGACGTTTTCCTTTAATCCATGTACCAGCGTACATATTTCCATTTGGCCATAAATATACACCACATGTTTCAAAGCCTAAATTCCATTCACCAGAATATTCACCAATACCATTTGGTCCTGTAGCTAAACCAAGTCCATGAGCTGAACCTTGATACCAATTACCAATATAAGTGCCACCATCATTAAAATCAAAACGTCCACCGTCTGTATTCATTTGTATATTATAGTATACTTGATTTTGAAGGTCTACATTAAGAGTTTAATGTTTGGTTTTAAGCATATTCCAAATTGAATCTACAAGGTTAAATAGATATCAAAATGTTTGATCTGAGAAGATTGAATATTTAACATTGATTATCAGTTTTACTAATGTCATAGAAAAGAAAAAGAATAGTTTATAGAAAGACAAAGGAATAAAGAAGTTTCTTTGGTCAATTCTTACATAAGTTTGGACTTCACAACAGTATGTATTGTCAATTTCGCATATGGGACTCGAACCCAGGAGCTTCGATTTTGTGCGCAAATGCTTAACCTCTAGATCACTGTGATAGTATCCTACGATGTTGATGTTTAACTTCAGAAACAGATCACAAAGTTTGATTTAGTATTCTCTAGTTGGTTCAATCTTGTGTTATCTAGTTTTATAGACAAGCGATAATACTGATGATTTATTCAATCTCTGAAATGACTGTACGGAATTTGATGTTATCCTATCTCATCATAAGGTTTCTAAGGAAGAAGAAATGTGAATGTTCACCATTGGTTCAATCATATACATCATAATACATCCGATTCCATAAGTAACACTAAGATACTTTACCAAGTACTAATCTAAAATATCGCTAATATCTAATCTGCTTATTTCTCTTAATCGAACTGGTTATGACATATCACTTTTTTTCTTATTTAAAAGGCTGACTTATCGATTTCAGTCTATGAATTAGGTAAATACAATGTATTTGAATGATTTCAGTTAAACACAATGCGAAATTTAGTTAGAATTAAAACAAAAGTAGGTCATTAAATATCAAAAAGAAGGATGGATAGTGGCTAGCAGTGGAGTCCGGGATATGCGTTTCGTCCTATTTGGGACTCGTCAGCCGAGTGTACCTGAATCTCAGAGTTGGGACTTGAACCCAGTACCGTTCGCTACAAACGCCATCGCGTTATCAACTTAGCTACTAAGTAAAGTAAGTAAGTTTAGTATTTCAATGTAACGCGATGGTGTTTTAAGCGAACGGTAGTGTACTGAATTCGAGCCTCATAGTGATCATTAACTCTGAGATACGGGTACTTCTAGCTGATGAGTCTCACAGTAGGACAAAACAGACGTTCAGTACTTTCAGGATTTCCATGATGGTCTTGCTACAATTGACTTATGAATTCAACTATTAAATTACTAAAATCTCCATAAAAAGACCTCTCTAATTTTGTAAACTATTAAAAAGTTTAACAGAAGCTCCTAATTGATATTATTCAATTCAATTATTAAGAAAGATAAGAAATTGAATGAAGAATGAAGAAGATAGCAAGATAAATGAATGAATGAATGAATGAACATTAGAGTATTCTAGAGGAATAAGTCATTTCGAAAATTTCACTGGTTGAAATCATGAGTCAATTGAAGCTAGACCACCATGGGAAACCTGGAAGCACTGGACGGCCGTTTCGTCCTAGTATGAGACTTCTCAGCAGTACGCATCCACGACCTCGCCTCCTGCGAGATTCGAACCCAGGACCTACTGGTTTCCATGGTGGTCTAGCTTCAATTGACTCATCATTTCAATCAGTGAGTTTTCTAAAATCTCAACAAAATCCCTTCTGATTTCGAAAATGTTTAATTAACAGTTAGAGTTTAGTTTAACTATCATTGATTATCTCTCTGTAAATTTGTTCTTAAGGAATTTTTCTACATAAAGCACTAATTAGATTTTTAAAAAAGAAGGAAATTAAATTATCAAGATATATGATGACCTTGACGTAAAATTTGATTCTAAAAGTATAGTGTTACTTTTAAAAAGTGTATCATCGGCGAGATTCTAATTTATGGACGAGTCAATCAGAGACGTTTTAGGGATTTCAAAGTTACGACGCCAACTTCAGTGCTCGATTCACAGGGATTTTTGTACAAAACGTGATAATTTAGCTGCTACAAGAAATAAAACGGTGGGACTACAATTTTTGGTCGAATCAATCGGGTATAAGATAATAGATCGCGGATTTTAACGCGAAAGCCTTTCATCCATTTGGGATTATAGCTGATGTCAGTTCGTGATGAAAACCCCATATGTAATTCCTAACTAAAGCAAACTACGACAATTATTGAGAACTGGATAATAAAAGCACTAGTAACACTGGGTGCAGCCAGGTACTACAATATGTACGGATGATTGGAGAGCGTACAGACTCCTACATAGGCTTGGTTATGTGCATCGTGTCGTTAACCACAAGTAGCATTTGTGCACTCAGCAGCCGAAGTACATACAAACAATATTGAAGCTCTGTGGTCGAGGCTGAAAAAGTTTTTGAGACTTTATCATGGCTCCAGAAGTCGACTGATCTGCAGCCGTATGGATGACTTCCTCCACTGCATGCATTACAATTTTAGAACCTCAGAACCTCTTTCTAACCTTGGTAAGTTTTTGAGCCACGTATAAGAAGTGTGTACACTTTATTTCTTTGGTTTTTTATAACATATTTTTACTCTGTACTGACTGTTTGCTGATTGGCTAATATTCCTCAAGGTCGATTAAGATTCGTTTGAATGTCGTCCATAAATTAGAGTATCGCTGTATCATCTTGAGTAATAGATACCTATTTAAGCGTTTTATGTTCACTTCAAGACATAAGCTCACTAATTATAATTATCTGTAGAATAGGTACCTTGGTAAGAAGCCTTATCCACCCCCACCCCCTTCCGACAAAGAACGCTGTCTAAATGGAGAAACAAAAGTTCATAACTCTCAAGATTTCCTGTCTTTCAACTGATGTTAATTTGTTCAAATAATCAACTTAAATGATGGATAATGGCTAGCAGTGGAATCCAGGACGCGCATTTTGTCTTATTTGGGACTCGTCAATTTCAGTCTTAAACCTCAATGGGAAGATACAAGCCAAACAATGCCAAGTGAATCAAATTAAAGTTTATTGACATCACTGAATGAATTTGACCAGATAATCAATCATTTGCTTATTAGAGAATAGTTTCTAGTTGGATTATTGAATTTCTAATGGGAAATCTTGATATGTCTCAAATATCACACGTTATATCCCTAGATAAGTCAAGATAACTAATCCCAAATAGGACGAAACGCTCATCCTGGATTTCACTACTAGCCACTAACCGTATTTGCTTAAAAAGCTTGTGACTTAAGGCTATATCGAGGCAGTGCGCATAGGATGCACATCTGTCAATAAGACACTGATCCATTGCGGTCCTAAAGATTAATGGAATGATACAAGTAAAGTAACACCAAGTAAATCTACTGTTATCTACTTGTCAATGATAGTCTATTTAAGGTTACTTCTTAATGCAAACTATCTTAGAAATGAACATTTCAAAAGGCAGAAGGTTTTTTATAGATATTATAATAATTTCAATGTTTGGAATCATGAATCGATTGAAGGTAGGCAACCATGGTAAACCTAGAAGCCACTGAACGACCGTTTCGTCGTATTTTAGTTCCTGGATTCAGATCTCACAACGAGGGATCGTGGATGTGCACTGTTGAGTTAACTCATGATCCCAACCATTTAGATTTCCAAAAATCGATAAAAGATACTATTGTTGTTAGGATCACACAATTTCTCACCATAATTGTACATTTAAAAATATCAATAATCAATTATATTGATGATTATTACAAACATCTTAAGATAATTTAATTTTACAAATTGAAATCATGAGTCAATTGAAGCTAGACCACCATGGAAAACTCGGAAGCACTTGACCGCCGTTTCATCCTAGTATGGAACTCCTTAGTGGCAGTGCGCATCCACGATCCCGCACTTCGTGAGACTCGAGCCCAGGACCTAACAGTCTCATGCCAAGCGCTTATCCAAGTAGACCACTGAGCTGGCCGGCATCCAATGGTGTTAATGTCTAACTTCAATCAATCCACGAAGTTGACTCATGATTTCAATCTGTGAAATTTCTAAAATCTCCACAAACTCCTTCTGATAATAATTTAATTTATCTTATTACCATGTGAATGATCAAAAAAGGCAAAAAAAAAATATTCGATATATTCATGCTAAGTATAGTTATTTACATTGATGTATGTATGTGAGTTGCTATGTAGATATGTGTATCTGAAAGGATTGACATTATAATAATAATAAGCCATAACAAGTTGTCTTCATTTTAGTCATTCTCATATATATATGTATATTCCTTTTTTTTTATTACATAATCAATGTGATAGAAGAGTTTTTGTTATGGATAGAAAAACTTAGTGAGTGAAAAATTAGAATAAGAATAGAGGTAATGAATGAAAAAGAAGAGTATCCAGGATAGAAAGTGTGTGTGTGTGTGAGAGAGAGAGATCGATTAAATTCGATTACAAATGATTTTGATTTGAATATTGAATAAGAAACAGGTAACATAAAAACCAACTTAGCTAAATAGTTAGTCAGTCAGCTACAATGTAGGATCAGGCACATATATACATCGGTCTAAGTTGCCATACATTTGTAGTGACCTAATTTTATCATGAGAACACGATTAATTTAATGGAAACAATCATTATTATAACCAATTGTACCAGTGATTGTTTTACTGCCCTCATTTGTTTAACTGTGCTAAAGACAACCATATATCTTTCGATTGTAAACTTGCATGGGTTCGGTTATGCTCGGTAACTACGTTTGTATTCCTTTGGTACGATCTCGGTATCCTTTCGATAACACGAGATCGCCAACAAATACATCTCGACTATAGCCATCAACTGCCTTCTGATATTTGGCTTACTGAGGATTTTATCAGTTAACTGGCACGTAGTCTTCTTGTAGTAATGTTCATAGTCAATCGCGACTCGACCCCACGCTACACCTTATTAGCACAATAAGATGAACACCGGAATCATAGAAGTAGTTAGTTCAGTGGTGGTAATATATAAAACAAGATTGTGTGTAAAGATATAGTACAGAAAGAAAGAATTATTTGGTAGAGAGTAAGATATGAAGCCATTTTAATCTCATGGTGCAAGGGAAGATAGAGAGTGTATACCCTAGGCTATAGTGATTGATTCTGAGCCATATCACCCAGAGTCTCCAACCATACACTTTAATCACTA